AGGACTTGTATATATTTTTTCGAGCTTGGCGTGGGGAGCTCTCTAAATGCTCATAATTTATCAGGGTTGGTCTCAATTCCCCATTCGGTCAGATAGAAGTCGAGGAATTTTCCCGCCTTGACCCTGAATGTGCATTTCTCTCGGTTGAATCTCATTTTGCATTTCCTTGCATGGGCAAAAACTCTTTTGAGGTGGGCAGCGTGGTCGGTTTCTGCTCGAGATTTGACGATCATGTTGTCCATGTATACCTCGAGCATCTCCCTGATCTCCCTGCAGAATACTTTGTTCATCATCCGCTAATATGTTGCTCCTGCATTTTTTAGGCTGCAGGGCATTACGTTGTAGTAGTAATTTCCCGACACGGTCATGAAGGCGGTGCAATGTTTGTTGTTCATCGCCATGGGAATTTAATTATATCCCGAGTAGGCGTCCATAAATGACAAAATTTTGTAGCGGCCGAGTTGTTGACCAACTTGTCGATGTTAGGTAAAGGAAAAACATCTGTGATATGCCCGATTGAGATCAGTATAGTTAACACACATATGCCATTTTCCATTTTTTTTATAACAAGTACAACGTTTGAGAGCCATGATGAATATTGGGCCTTAGAAATAAAATTTTCCTCTAGGAGGTCTTTTATAGCTTTTTCAGTAGCTTTTGCTTTTTCGAGAGACTGCCTACTCCTACGTTGTACTACTTCCCTATCGGCTGGATCCACAACAAAGTTGGTGACAGGAGACATCAGGGTCTAGTTCGGGCATCTCTGCAGTGCTTCATGCGAACAAGTCAACTTTCTCCCTCACACAGGCTTTGAGTTGTTTCTTTTCTAAGTCGGGGAGTCTGGCACCAATCTTCACGCCTTTGTTCGGGACTTCACCGAGGGGGGTGTACTTGAAGTCTTCATCTGGGACGGGTCAGAGAGGATCTTGTTTTCCATTGGGGAATTCGACTTCATCTTTTAGTAGGTCATGCCTCAATGTCCACCATGTTTTTCCCTTTGGAAGCTGTATTGAAACATCTCTTGGTAGCTGAGATGTCTCTATAGATGGTGGCGACGTGGGCCATGTTGGTGTATAATTTCATCTTTAAAAGAATCATGAAGGGAACATCGCTCAGCTCGGCCAGTGTTGGTCTCCCTAAGATGCAGTTGTAGAGAAACGAGAAATCGATCACTAGAAGCCACACATTGACATGTCTGGATGTAGTTTCTTCCCCTAATGTGACAAAGAGCTTGATGTAGCCCCATGGCTCAGAGGTCAAACCGTTAAATCCTTGCAGGTCGGACCCCACGTATGGTGACATGTGGGTATCGTCGAGCTGTAGGGTACGTAATAGGTGGGTGTACATGATGTCGGGGGAACTCCCCTTGTCGACCAGGATGCGATGTACATCAAAGTTGGCCATACTTTCCCTCTCCAGCATAGGAATACTAGAGTTTGGGGCTCTGTCAGGCAGCTCCTCGAGATAAAAGGCCTTGAACCTTTCAAGGGTTACTGCCTAGGTCGGGGCTGTGTCTACCAACTCATTGAGTTTCCTCTTTGCGGAATTTACCAAGATGTCGTTGAATCCCCCACCAAATATGACCATGGATTAGGGGAACTTCTCTCATCTACTGTGGGTGATCAAGAATTCTTCATCTTCGAAGTTGTTGGAGATACGGAAGTCCTCATGCCTTGAGATGAAGAAGGCTACCTGGAGGGGACCCGATTCATTGGATGGTCGGGTATGCTCCTCTATTTATTTAACCTTGCAGGTACCCTGTCGAGTGGTGTGGTTTCGCCTGTATTTCCCGAGTCTCACTGCCTTGATGAGAGTCTTGATAGAATCCTTTTGGTGGACGCAATCTTTGGTCAAGTGACCCTGTCTCCGGTGCTATTGACAGTGTTTTTTTCTGTCGGCTCCATGATTTGCTGGGGGAGCAGAGAACACCTGACATCGACGTCCTTGAACTCGGTGTTGGAGCACTCCACAAGGATACACTCGCGAGAAGCGGTCAGCAGGGTGTACTTGGTGAACCGTCCGGGTGGTCCTCTGTGCTCGCGGGGCTCGCGAGGTTTTACCTTGCTTCTCTTCTCCCCCATCCATCGAGAAGGGTCTACGTCGTGGTGCCGTAGGATGTTAGTTAGTCCACGGTTCCTCGAATCGGGGGCTCTGTTGGCTGCCTCTTTCTCCTTGTAATCCATGTATGCCTGGACTTTTTCGAGGACAGCGTTAAAATACCTGGAGGGTTCAATGACGACGGCCTTTCTAAATTCAGTGTCCGGGAGGAGTCCCCTCTAAGGCATGTATATTTTCATGTGGCTGGCGCATGGGACCTGAATGCCCTCTCGATTGAACCGATCAATGTACTCATTCAGAATCTCGTTACTTCTCTAGACGATTGCCTCAAGGGAGGCTTCAGTCTTTGGATGTCACCGAGACGCAAGGAAGTTGCTGATGAACTAGTTTTTAAGGCTCCTCCATAAGTTGATCAACCCAGGGGAGATGTTTTTGTACCAAATCCATGGTTGTTTTCCTCAGTGTCGTGGGGAACAACCATCATTTAATTAGGCCCTCGATGTTGTGGTAGTGGAGCATCGCTTCAAATCCGTCGATATGGTCGACAGGATCAGCAATAGCGTCGCACTCCTTCAGTAGGTGAGGCTTCTCCATTCATTTAGGAATGATAGCCTCCATTATGGCTTGGGATAGTGGACCGCGGGGGTCGTCTTCGTCGCTTCAGTCTGAAGAGCGAGAGGGGGATCGGTTATAACGACGGTCGTTGTGTCGGCCTTGGCCACGAGGAGGGTCCCTTAACCGAGACTGCTTTTATTCATTCCCCCTATTTCTTTTATGTTCAGGGGATCCTCGCTCCTTGCGCGAGGGAGAGGGGGTGTCCGCGCTTCATCACAACTTTGAACTGGCTCCTCTCCAATGCAGGGCCTCGCCCAGTTCGGCAGGGAGAAGGGCTTCGAAAGTCGTCCTGTCTATGTCTCCGCGGGGGAGATCGTGGGAGATCCTCATTCCGTTGGGCAGGAGGAGTTGGAGAATCAGGTCTTCTGTGCTTTTTGGGGGCCCATCGAGTCTGCTCGAGAATCGTCAGTCGCTAACCCTGTGAGAATATCATGTAATTGATCTGGTTGATTGCCGCGAATAGAGCTCTGGTCGTGGCGTCAGCACCTGCAGGAACAGGGATCTCCTGATATGTATTGGATTCATAATTATGTGGAGGATGGTAGTCGTCGTCGTGCGGTTGCGTGCGGGTGGATAAAGAGGTGGTTAGTCTGTTCCTGTGGTCTTACTCGGGACTGGCCACGTTGTTGTTGTTGCCAGCATTATTGTCGCCAATATTGTTGTTGTTGTTGTTGGGGTCTGAGAAATGGACGTTTTGGTTATCATCGTCATCTTGGTCGGCCATGACAATCAGATGGTTGACGAAGAGTTACTTTGTCTTGAGAGGAAGACAAGGAAGCTGGATTCTCATAGACGGCGCCACTGATCGTACTTGATCAGAAGGCATTTTCAAGACCCACGAGATACAAGTCGAGCAGTGGTTGAATGTGAAATGGAGGGTACCTGCAAGACACTCTGATGCAAAAGTAAGGTTCATAGTAAAAGCAAGTAAGTGTGAGAGTATGGGTAAATAAATGAATACCTGACTCTCTCGAGTGAGAGGATATTTATATCCCAAGCGCTGGGCCAAGGTCCCCATTATTGGGTTGATCAAGCAGACCCAAAATGGAGACTGATAGGTCCTATGTGTGTAATTGAGATCAGCACGTGGTCTCCAACCTGAATGAACTCCTTCGAATTATCAGGAGGACGTGGATGTAGTCTTTTCGGGGTCAAGAGGACTCTGTGACATTCTGGATGCATTCCCTACGAGGAGGGTGTTCGTGAGGACCTTCTGAGTGTCGTTGGTCCTCCTCGCCAGTCGTGAGGTTGTCTCCGGAGGACATATCCTAGTCGACGAGAGGAGTGGAGGGTGCTCGCAAGAACTTCCTGAGTATCGTTGGTCCTCTTCACCAGTCATGGAGTTATCTCCAGAGGATATATCCTGGTAGACGAGAGGAGTGGAATTACTTCCCGACATTGCCAAGGGCAGACTCTCTCCTGCTGATTTTCTCCTGCAGCATAGTTGGATTGGGCCTTGTATTATGTTTTGGCTAAGTGCAGGCCTAGTCCAGAATAGTGAGCTATATTTTATTGCCTTAAGATTTTTGGTGAATATGTGGCATCAAAATCTCTTGTCACTGTTGAGACTTCTGACGCTCTCCGGACTCCCCCAATAATTTAAAATCTAAGGACGGAAAAGAGATCAAACCAACTTAAATATGGAAAACTGAACAAGATGCATGGGAGATTAGTGATGAGGTATCCAATATAGAATTGTACCTATTAATGATATGAGTCAAGGTGATCTCAGAATGGCTGGTGTATCTTGTATTTCATTTATGTTTCTATTGATCCCAACACTTGAGTCCCGTTTTGCAGCTTATAGATCACTGCATATTGTATGCTATATGGTTCCAGATTCTTCTTGCCAACAATTGCATCAATTCTGTGTAAAATGTATTAATTGAGTGGCAATGAGTTATATTCAAAAATCTTGTGCTAGAGAAGCCTTGATTTTAAGTCTGTTTAAATTTTGTTTATGTGTTGGAGCTGCATTTGTGACATTTAGCTCTTGAATTTAGTTTTGGTAGGTTTGTGTGCAGGGGCGGATGCAGACAAAATATATTGGTGTTGTTAAATATGAAAAAACTTATAAATTAAATTATATTGAAAATAGGAAATAATATTATTCGAAAAAATTGTGTGTAGGTGACATTGACTTGAGATTTTCTGATGTATTTTAGCATATATTGTGCTTAGTTTAATTTATACTATTATTTGTGCTTTCTTAACAAAAACACTACCAACCAAAGCAATGAAGCATAACACTTAGGACATGTGCACCATTGAGGATACTACTGAAACAATGGAGAAGAATGCTTCTTAGTTATGCAACCATCATCACTCTATTTGTGGTCACAATTAGAGCAACATGGCATACACTCACAACAACTCTTTGGATTTTCACACTTAAAGCAAATAGTGACACAAAGTTCTCCATCACACTTTGGACTTGAACATTTTGTGCATGAACACTTACCATTACAACTCATGCTATGACACTTGATGCAAGAACCATGTAAAACAGCACAACATGCTTCCATCATCTTTTTCTTTTCTTCTGCTTTTTTCTTCTCTTCTTCCTTTTTCTTTTCTTCTTCTGTTTTCTTTTTCACTTCTTCCACACTTAGAATTGTGACATTTTTGAATTTCTTCTGTAGTTGATTGGCTAAGCATACTGTGTCTACATTATCACCAGTAACAGATAGCTTATCTTTATCATCTCCTTCCAATGAAACTGATGTCACACCTATATATACATGTGTTTTGGTTTATGGTCATATAAGTCATATCAAATTAAGAATCACTGGCTAAATCTCGTATTAATTGTGATTGGGAAATATTGTTAGGACATCAAAATAAATGTAGGAACCATAACAAAATCTAACTCCAATAAAACCCGAACAAAACTGCCCCGAATTTAACAAAACAATCGATTTAATTAGTGGCTGGTGCAAGGAAAATCTGACTTTTATAAATGAGGGAGGGATAGGAGCAGGATGTTCGGTCTCTACCCCTATCCCACACGGTCTACTAAGTTAATAAGTTATTTTTATTATTTATTATTTATAATTTAGTTTTTAAAAATATAAGTTGTTGGTTAATTTATGTTATATGTTGTATTTAATTTAATTATTTATTTTTGACACTATAAAAAAATAAAATTTAAAACTTTAAATATATATAATTTTTTATTTTAATAAAAAAATGTTAAATTTAATAGTGGCGGAACATGACGGAGTGGATGTTCAATAATTATTTCCAATAAAATTTAGAAACCAAAGCAATATAAATATTATTTATTTTCTATTCTTTGGATTTGTTTTGTGGGCATCTTGTTTCAATTTAGGGATGTCAGTTTGGACCTGTTAATGGGGATCCCCGCGGGGAACGCCCCGTTCGGGGCCGCAAAGATGGGGAATTTTCCCCCGTGGGGGCGGGGATGGGGAGAAAAATTCCCCCGAGAGCATTTCGGGGACGGGGACGGGGAATACACCCCCCGCCCCGCCTATTATTTTATAGAAATTTATAAAAAAAATATTATTATTTTGTGTTCCATTAGTATTTTTAATAAAAAATAATAAATGTCAAATACTAGTATTTTTTAATAACATAATAAATATGTGAATTCTTTGTGTTTTTTATTTTTATAGAAAATATAAATATTTTAAAAAAATAAAATATTAATGAATAAATGTAGGATCTACGAGGATCCCCGCGGGGAACGGGGATCCGCGGGAAACGGGGATGGGGATAGAAATTCCCCCGTGACGGAGATCGGGGACGGAGACGGGAAATGAATTTGATGGCGGAGAAAAAGATGGGGAAGTGTCCCCCCGACCCCGCCCCGCCCCATTGACATCCCTATTTCAATTCTTCCACACAAGAAATCTAAAGCGATTCTGCTAAGATAATTTATTTGAGTTAGCTAAGTAAACGTAAAATTAGAGAAAAAAATTATAAAAAAATTATCATTTTAAAAAAAGATTACTGGATATTGATGTATTTCTTTCGTTCATTAAATCAAATATATTAATTTTTTATATAAATATTCGATAAATGGATAGTTTTAAAACGAATATGCATTCAAAATCACAATGCAAATTGCAAACAAGTAAAGGGATTGGCATGATAAATACCTTTGACATTAGCAGCAATTTTGAGGGCTTTGTTTCTGCATTTCTCTTTGTCCATTGATAACATTATAACTATTTTTTGCTGCATTTTACAAATATAGTTTGTTAAAAAAATTACCACAAAGGAAAAAAAAACTCAAAATAATAATTATCTAAGAAATCAAACCTTCATGCTTCCTTAATCGAAACGAAAAAGAAACCTTTTGCTTCTTTTGATTTTGTGATTGGAAATGAACAAAGTTGTTCTTTGTATTTATCTTCTGCTTTAGAACAAAGTGATTAGAACATGTTATGTATATACATAATACATTGTTTGTTGACTAAGAAATTTGCAACTTAGTCATTATTTTATGAAAGGTTCAAGTTGTAGATAATAAGAAAAGGATAAAACAAAAATAGTACTAAACAATCTTTGAATAATTGAGGTTGTTACAGTCAACTCTTTTCACCATTAGCCAGTTTGTCCTATAACTTTTTTAATAAGTTGTCTTTTAGGACTAGAGTTTTGAATTGTTTTGCTTGTTACTCAACTAAAATAAATTTATATTAAAGACTTAGAGTGACCAAGTAGTTCAAGAAATGCAAGCATTTTTCATCAAAAAGTATAGGCTTTTTATAAATAAAAAATTGTGTGGGATTTGACTCCTCTAAAGCAATCAAGGAAAGATTATTAAAGAAGAAAACTAATATTTGATATTTTAGAGTTGTTATGTATATCTTGTATTCGAATTTGATTTTTTTCACTTTTCTTTTAAGGTGTTTCTAGACACCAAACTATTAAGTTAAAAAAAAAATTATATATGTAGTTCAATGACAGACATTTACTTATTTTTACTATACACTTTTTTTTTTTTTAGTGTTTGATTGTGTTGCGAAAAAATGGAGATTAGAAGATCAACAATAATAATACTAAAAACTCTGTGAGACACGGAACAAAATATCAACCCCACTAATTAAACTTTCTTAAGCAAAATTTAATATATCAACTAATGTGAAAACAAAAACCATATTAAAAATAACAAATTAAAAGATGAAAATTAACACACAAAATTTCAAAAAGATAAGCTCTCTTATCAACTACAAATCAAGAGTCTTAGGATATATATCAATTATTTTTGCAGGTGAAGAAGATGTAATCTGAAATAACTGAATCAAATCTTTAACATAATTAAAAGTTTTTAAAATTGATTGTTAAGTTCATTTAGGATACTTGAAGATTTGTTTCAAGTTTTAAGGAGATATTCTTTGCAGCAATCAGTGTACGGATTAAGGAATAATTGGGTAAATATTTTGAAGTCCGTGGACAGCTGAAGGTTTATAAAAGGAAGACCAAGACTTTGGGAAAAATAGTTGATTTAGAAATGTGATAGGATTGTCTACTACTATTATAGGAGAGTAGCTATTGTGGTTGCTTACTGGATGCAACGATTAAGGTGGGGATGATAGTTTGTCACGCTGACTGAAATAGAGGATGTTGTTGGTGTTGCTGCTTCGATGAGATGTGTGCAAAGATATCAAACAAAGTTTATCTTACATTTTGCATGATGAAGAATCTCCTAGGTTTCTTTGGGCTTAGATTGTTTTATCCAAAATTTTCCAATGGGGATGATTGTTAGTACCACAGTTTTGTGATTTACAAAATTTTGGCAAATTATGGTTTTTCATAACAGGATGTCCTGAGATCTTGGTTTGGTGCAACAAGTGTTTCTTTCTGATATTTCTTAAAAAGATTTGATTTGATTTTCTGAGATTTCTTTTGGATATATATAAGTTATTTTTATAGGTCAAGAAGATGTCATCTGGAACAAGTGAATCAAATCTCCTACAACATTAAAAGTTTTTAAAATTGGTTGTTGAGCTAATTTAGGATACTTTAAGATTTATTCCAACTTTCAAGGAGATATTCTCTACAGCAATCGGTGCATGGATTATAGAATAATTAGGCAGATATTTTGAAGCCTGGGGATAACTGAAGGTTTATAAAAAGAAGACCAAGACCTACGGATACCAATTTGTAAAATAAGGGTTTCGGTCTAAGAACCTCTTGTGTTCATTGTGGTGTATGTCACTCTTGTATCTTTTTATACTTGTGGTAGATATAGTGTTCTCACTCAAAGCTCGTAGGCATGAGTTAAATATTGTTCTTGGTGGAAACTTTTCAGCAATCTAAGTATTGTTTTAGTTAAGAGTCTTAACTGGGTATTTATAATTTGGAAGTATGTTCTTCCTGAATGTTCTTGGGATTGAGATTGTCTTTTTTTGTAATTGGGAAATGTGTTCTTCCAGGAAATTCTTGGGATTGGGATTGTCTTTCCATGTGATTGGGAGTTTGATATCACTGCGATGATTAGAAGTGAGTGGGTTCTCTTAACTAGGAAGTGCCTAGGTAGAAGTTACACTGAGTAGGGATTAAATGAGAGGTTGTAAACTGGGGAATTTAGCTTCAAATTAATTTGCTAATAGTGGATTTCATCCCTGGATTGGTAGCCCTCAGATGTAGGTGAGTTACATCGAACTGGGTTAACAATTAACCGTCTTCTTTATAATTATGCGTTTATAATTCTGCATGATATATCCGTTTGGTATTTCTATTCAGTATATAGACAAATGTTGTAACATTCATCAAGACAGCTTGTTCGGCTGTTTGTAACATCAGTTCTACCATATTATGTAAGTACCAGAATTTCAATTGGCATCAAAGCAGGCACCCAGTCTGTTATCGGGTGAGCTTCAGGGAGTATATTTTTGGTATTATTTGGCGATTGGAAGGTTAGGATGACAACTTCTTGGAATCAATGGACAACTATTGATGGTTGTCTGGTTCTTATGTATGCTCTTTTGTAGTTTTGTTACTTCTAAAACAACTATTGATGGTTGTTTTTATATCACAACTATTGATGGTTGTGCCACTGCTACAACTACTAAATAGCTATGTGGAGGTAACCCTCCACAACCAGCTTCTTAGAGGGACTATGGCGACTTAGGCCACAGAAGTTTGAGGCAATAACAGGTCTGTGATGCCCATAGATGTTTTATGCCGCATGTGGGCTACAATGATGTATTCAAAGAGTCTATAGCCTTGGCCGATAGGCTCGGGTAATCTTTGAAATTTCATCGTGAGGGGATAGATCATTACAATTATTGGCCTTCAACGAGGAATTCCTAGTAAGCACGAGTCATCAACTCACATTGACTATGTTCCTGCCCTTTATACACACCGCTCGATGCTCCTATCGATTGAATGGTCTGGTAAAGTGTTCAGATTGCATCGACATGAGAGGTCCGCTGGCCGCGATGTTGTGAGAAGTCCACTGAACCATATCATTTAGAGGAAGGATAAGTCATAACAAGGTTTCCGTAGGAAAACCTGCTGAAGGATCATTGTCGATGCCTTACATGCAGTCTAACATGTGAATAAGTTTGAATACATACGGTGGGCTTGAGGTGTTCCACACCTCAGCTGACCTCTAGTTCAGAGGCAGACGACGAAGTGTGTTCTCCTTCGCGCCAAAACTCAAGCCACCGGCGCTGAATGCGTCAAGGAATTTAAATTTCACTCTGAGCGCACATGCATGGCACCAGAGACGGTTTTCACGCGGGTTGTGTTTTGACACATGATATATAATGACTCTCGACAATAGATATATAGGTTGTTGTATCGATGAAGAACATAGAGAAATATGATACTTGGTGTGATTTTCAGAATCCTATGAACCATCGAGTCTTTGAACACCCGTTGCGCCCGATGCCATTAGGTTGAGGGCACGTCTGCCTAGGTGTCACATATCGAAGCCTCCTTATCAATTTCCCTGATTATTGTGCAGGGTGGATGTTGGCCTCCCTTGAACTCTTTTGTCTCATGGTTTGTTTAACCTTTAGACCTTGGTAGGGTGTTCCATGATAGTTGGTGGTTGTGTGACCCATGAGACCAATCATGCACTGCTCTATTGAATTTGGCTTATTTTAGCCATATGCATTTCTAAACGCTCGTGACGGAACCTCGGGTCAGGCGGGGCTACCCGCTGAATTTAAGCATATCAATAAGCGGAGGAAAATAAACTAACAAGGATTCCCTTAGTAACAGCGAGCGAATCGGGATAATCCCACCATGAGAAACGATCACCCTCGGCGTTCGAATTGTAGTATAGAGAAGCGTCCTTGGCAGAGGATTGGGCCCAAGTTCCATGGAAGGGAGTGCCATAGAGGGTGAGAGCCCCGTTGTACTTGAACCCTGTAGCACCACGAGGTGCTATCGGTGAGTCAGGTTATTTGTGAATGCAACCCCAATTGGGCGGTAAATTCTGTCCAAGGCTAATTATTTCTAGAACTTCATCGTGTGAACCTTATCAGGTTTTTGCAAGATAAGAGTCTTGATTGAATTGATGAAAGCCCTTGTTATAGTTGTTGATATTTTTGGTAAACTTTAAAAAAATTAAGATTAAAGATATTTAAAGTTATCAAAAGTTCTTGATCAACCTCTACAAAGGAAAGTTGGGTTCCAAATGGTGAATAGAAGCATGTCTATATGCTTGATTTCCATTCTGAAAAGGGACTGGGTGGGCTACAACATGGAAGAATCAGATATATTTAAAGTATTCAAAGATATTTATAGGTTTTAACTATACTTAATGAATATCTCTGAGCTTAACTGCTATTAGTAAAATTTAGAGATATTGCAGTCATTAATAAAGGAAAGGATGTTGAAACAAACGTTGGAACATCATATCATGAAAATTATTCTCCCAAATAGAAGACTATGAACAACTGTATGAACTGAATCAAAATTTCTCAAGTCATCTAGAGTTCAAGATTTTTATCTATAGGAATAAATGATAAGGAGTTTCATTTGTAAAGGGATCTCCATTATTTTCAAGTCTGATGCTATCATGTATTTAGAATTTAAGAAGACCTTGACAAGAGTATGTTAGATTAAATTTGGGCACCATATATTTCTTTAAATACAAATATATTGATGTTGGTGTAATTAGGGGATGACTATCCTTGGAAAGAAATCTTGTCTTCTGAATCAGCCATGTTACATTTGTATCCTAGTATTTACTAAGAAGAAGTGTTATGCTGGAAGGAAACTGTTGCACTTTAGTGTTCTTCATACAATGTCAAAGTATATGTTATGACATTGTACTATGGCGTGTTGGGTATAGTATGTGTAAT